CTAGAGGGGTTCCCAGGTGTCCAAGGGGATTTCCCCAGCTAGTTTTGTGGGCAGCAGAGGAGAGGGTGCCTGAACTGGCCCTATCCTATAGTCACACTGACGAGTATCTTGCATATCACCATAGAACCTTCATCCAGAGATGGATGGAGATAGAGACAGAGACCCACACTGGAGCACTGGACTGAGCTCCCAAGGTCCAAATGAGGAGCAGAAGGAGGCAGAACATGAGCAAGGAAGTCAGGACTGTGAGGGGTATGTCCACCCACTGAGACGGTGGGACTGATATAATGGGAGCTCACCAAGGCCAGCTGGAGAGGGACTGATGGAGCATGTGATCAAACTGAACTCTGTGAATGTGGCTGACAATGAGGGCTAACTGAGAAGCCAAGGACAATGGCACTGAGTTTTGATTCTATTGCATGGACTGGCCTTGTGGGAGCCTAGTCTGTTTGGATGCTCACCTTCCTAGACCTGGATGGAGTGGGGAGGATCTGGAACTTCCCACAGGGCAGAAAAGCCTAACTGCTCTTAGGACTGGAAAGGGAGGGGGAATGGGAGTGGGGGGAGTGGGAGGGAAATGGGAGGACGGGAGGAGGTGGAGATTTTTAATAAATAAAAAATATTTATTTTTTAAATCAATAAAATTTTATTGTTTTAATTTGAAACATTCTTAAAGTTTTTAAAAAATTAACAAACAATAGGAGATGATGGTAATGAATTAGTCAGCATCCAACCTGCCATATTGGAAGCCATGGCAACAGGGTTATCATCTCTAGAGGCAAATCTTTCATTAACATTGTGAAAACTGCCTTCCTATTTTAGTGAAGAAAAATTGTTTGATTTAATTATAAATTCTACAAAAGAGAACCATAGAAAAGGTGCTTTGACTAATAATAGGATATTTCTGCTTTCTGATATAGGGCATTATAATTTAGTGGAAATATTTAATATAGGATTTATTTTTTAATTGTTTTCATTGAGCTATATATTTTTCTCTGCTCCCCTCCCTTCCTCTCCCCTTCCCTTCTATCCTTTCCCATAATCCCCATGCTCCAAATTTACTCAGAAGATCTTGTCTTTTTCTACTTCCCATGTAGATTAGATCCAAACATGTCTCTATTAGGATCTTTGTTGTTGTCTAGGGTAGGTAGAATTTAGAATTGACATAGTAAAAATGGCAATCTTACCAAAAGCAATTTACAGATTCAATGCAGTGCCCATCAAAATCCCAGCAAAATTCTCTACAGACCTTGAAAGAACAATACTCAACTTCATATGGAAAAACAAAAAACCAAGGATAGCTAAAACAATCCTGTACAATAAGGGAACTTCTAGAGGCATCACAATCCCTGACTTCAAACTCTACTACAGAGCTACAGTACTGAAAACAGCCTGGTATTGGTATAAAAACAGACAGGAGGATGAATGGAACAAAATCAAAGACCCAAATATTAATCTACACACCTATGAACACCTGATTTTTTACAAAGAAGCTAAAAATGTAAAATGGAAAAAAGAAAGTATATTCTACAAATGGTGCTGGAATAACTGGATATCAACATGTAGAAGAGTGAAAATAGATCCATATCTATTGCCATGCACAAACCTCAAGTCCAAATGGATCAAAGACCTCAACATAAAGCCAGCTATATTGAACCTTCTAGAAGAGAAAGTGGGAAGTACACTTGAACACATTGACACAGGAGACTACTTCCTAAATAAAACCCCAGTAGCACAGACAATAAGAGCATCAATAAATAAACGGGACTTCCTGAAACTAAGAAGCTTCTGTAAAGCAAAGGACACGGTCAAATAAGACAAAAACAGCAGCCTACAGAATGGGAAAAGATCTTCACCAGCCCCACATCAGACAAAGGTCTGATCTCCAAAATATGCAAAGCACTCAAGAAATTGGTCATCAAAAGAACAAAAAATCCAATAAAAATGACGTACAAACCTAAACAGAGAACTCTCAACAAATGAATCTAAAATATATACTCACTCGTAAGTGGCTTTTAGACATAAAGAAAAAACAGCCTACGACTCACAATTCCAGAGAATCCAGACAACAAAGAAGACCCTAAGAGAGACATAATTTTATTTATTTTTTAACAGGGTATCTGGGGATTTATCTGTTACCACTTACCAGTTCTGGAGTTACAAGGCCATATTTGTGTGTGCTGGGGATCCAAGTCCAGTATTTGTGTGTGTGCTGGGGATCCAAGTTCACAGCAAGCACTTTACCCATGGATCCATCTCTATAGCCCATTTGAGAACGAATTCTATACGATTTTTATTTTGAATTTTTCTTAACATTTCTAAAATAAGCAACTACAGTGCTTATAATAAAAGAAAATTATTTATAAGGTAGTGAAGCAGGGGATGAGCAAGTCCATACATTCTTTGTCTCTTTATGTTGAGGTTAAACATTCTCAGCATAGAGTGCTGTAATCCCACCAGCCTGCCATGTTTGATGTTTTCCTGTGTCCATCTGCATACTTCCTCTTTAGGTACATATGGAATGTCTTAAATTCTAAAGAAAGAGTGTTGCATGAAAAAACATCTAGAATTTGATGAAGGAGGGAGGGAGGGAGCCTAGAGCTGTTCTTTGGAATCCTGCAGTCCCTTTCTCTCCCAGTTTAAACTGGATCTGTATCTTCATTTGCTGCTCTCTCAGAGTAATCAGCACACTTCACTATGTTCTTGTTTCTCTGCACCCCACTTCCTAGGTGGGAATTTCTGAGTTCAAATTCAACATCTCTGTATTTCCTTTCACAATCCAGTCAACAAAATGAATACAGAGCTGAATCCAGATGGCTTTTTTTCTGCTCTCTTTTTCTGAAGTGATCTCTCTTCTGGTTCTTCAGTCCCTAAGAGCAACCCCAGGCCACCCTGCCTATGACTTTCTGGAAGATCCCCCTGAAACATGGATTTTTATCTCCCAGCTTAGCGTCTTTCCCATTGTCTGCAGCAGAGCAGTCCTAATTAGGGATCGTTCAACTTTGCAACCTTCACAAAGCCTTTAGTCAGCCGAGAGCACTTGGCTGCATTCGAAAGGCCCTGTGTTTTCATTTCATCACCAGGAAGAAGAAAACAGAAACCAAAAATTCTTAATAGCAAATGTCCACATAAACTCTCTAAAACATCTAAAATTATAAGAGGAAGTTTAATAGATCTAGGGATATAGCTTGGTGTTAAGAAAGCACTTTTAGAGCAGAACCAGATTGGAGTCCCAGCAGCCAACTGTCTGTAACTCCAGTCCCAGAGGATCTATCCCCATGTTTTGGCTTCCTCAAGTACCAGCCATGCATTTGATGCACAGACACACATGCAGGCAAAACACACACAAGCATGAAATAAAATAAAAATTAAGTTTAATGTTCTCGCTCTCTCTGTCTTCCTCTCTCTGTCTCTCTGTCTCTGTCACTGTCTTTGTCTCTCTCACACACATACACACATACACAGACACATGGAGTTTTATGCAACCATAAAGAATAACATAATTATGTCATTTTTAGGAAAATGGATGAAATTGAAGATCATCATAGTAAATGAAATAAGGTAGACTCAGAAAAACAAATACCACATTTTTCTCACATGTGGACCTAATTTTTTAAAAAAATATATGAAATGAAAATAAAGAGGAATGATTTGAGAAGAGGAAGGTTATTGGGAAGAGGCGCTCAAGAAAATGTAATGGGGTAAATACCACTAAGGCACATAATATACGTGCATGGCAATGTCATAAGGAAGCCCATTATTTTGTAGAATGAATATGTAGTAATAAAAAAGCGAAATAGAAAAAGAAATTTAACATTTTTGATTGAACTTTTCTATTGTTTCTTTTTAGTAACTTAGTGTAACAATCATAGATATCTGGCTAATGGAGAGGTTGTATATTATTGCTTATGCCTTTTGTTTGGTCACAGCATCTATCTTACAGGCAGAAGGCTAGGTTTCAGTGAGGTGAGAGGAGGAGAAAGGGTGTCGGTCAAGTCTTTGGTTCTGAAAAATACTGAAAGCTAAGTTTTCCATTTCTTGGAAATTTTTAAACATTAAATTTTTAAACATTAAAATTTTAAACATTAAAGGGACTGTGCCTCACGTGTCATTCCAGGCTTCTCCTGTACCCGTATCCACCTATACCCAGGGCTTCAGCCACCAGTACCTCTCATCTCTCCCCACACACTTCCACCCATGTTTATGATCATTCTTCTGCCTTCCCCTTGCAAAATCCGCAGTTCACCCTGAAAGACCTTGCTCAGAAGTCCTCTCCCCAGAAAATCTCTCTCTGTAATCACTGTCCCCTGTCTGGCACTTCTGTACTCTGGCCTGCATCAGACCAAATGTCAATATTATTTGTAATATTGTCCTTTCTCCTGCCCACCGAGAACACAAGGAGAAAAGTTATGGTGGCTGCTCCCACGTAGTCCCAGCTGGTTTCTAGCCTTGTTAAATTTCCTGTGACTGTGTACTGATCAGCATGAATGCCTTTTTCTGATGAGAGACACACATCTCACAATGAACTAAGCTCTGATTTTCCTCAGATCATTACCACACAGCAGAAGACAGGCTCTAAAATGTAGGAGCAAACTGTCTTTGTATCCCAGGTCTGCCTTGTGCAAGTCCCTTAATCCTGCCATGTCTGTAATGTCTGAATAATGGGTGCAAACTATCAACACCTGAGATTGGAATGGTTTAAAATGTCTGCCACATAGTAGCTTTCTATATGTTTTATTCTTCCCATTATGAGGAATGAGTAGGAAAACTCAACAGTCTCAGGCCACTCCAGTCATAGAAAAGAAATTTCAGCCTTCAGTTTCAAGTGGAACCTTAGATTTTAGCATTTAGGGCTAGAATTTGGCTTCCACCCTTGCCCTTCTATGTCAAGCAGTTACCACTGTTAAATGCCTTCCTCTAGTTCCCACCCATAAATTAGATCTCTTCACACTAAGAGAAGCTTAATTTGCTCCTCAGAGTTATTTCATGAAGATTCTGACCTTATTTCTTCTTTAAAGAACTTCTTACAAATGGATGTCCCGATGCAGGCATTGCATTTATCAAGACTGAGGAACGTCCTTCCCAGAGTGTAGCTGCTTCTGACTCGGGGTACCAGGGACGGAGGGAGAGAAGCTGGTGAGGAGAAAGAACAGCTCAGGGTTGAGACCCACAGCAGGAGCCGGGCTGGCCAGCGCTGGTGGAAGGTGGCAGTGTCAGCTCCAGCTAGGGGCTCCATCCTGCTTTTTGCGCTGCAGCTGCGGTGGTGAGCGGAACACTCAGAGCAGCACAGAGACCAGGCTTGACCAGAAGGAAACTGTCAAAAGCAACTGGCCTCAGGATGCTGACCCTATCCCAGCCTCTGAGGTTTCTGTCTGAGGATGCTAAGGAGCTAGCAGCTAATGGGGTTGGGCAGGAGATGAGGAAATCCATGGAGGATGCTGATAACGCATTTCCAAAGTCATTCTTCCTCTGTATGGGGAGGCTGCCTCAGTCTGGGGAGGGGCACACTGGCAGATTTCAGGAAGGACATTGGTTATGGCTTCCCTGTGTAGTCCTTTTGACAAACACAGGATATCCCAGCTGGGCAGGAAAAGTCCATGCAGGATGTGTGTAGGACCTAGGATCCACCTGGGAGTTTCAAAGAATCCTGAAGGCCTCCACCCTCCACTGTTTTTATTCTGGGTACATCTGTCCCTGTGGAAAACACACACACACACACACACACACACACACACACTACACACCTTGCATACCTCCACCAACATGTGCATATACACATTTGCTTCATCCCACCCTACTCCATCACACATAATACACATATACCTCACACCACATAGATATGCACTCCACACACACATTTAACACCTCACAAAATGAACGCCACAAGACATACACAGTCTAATACGCATACAAACACATGCATCCTATCCCAAATCTCTATCCTACAACACCTGCAAACACACACATGCACACCACACCACATCTCACACACACTTCACATCACATATACATATACTACACAACACACACAAATAACAAACACTTCATAACATACAGATACATGCACACCACACTCCTCTTCCCAACCCTCATGCACATACCATCCCACATCAAACACACACATCTCACAGCACATATATTTCACAACAAAACCCCATAACACACACACACACACACAGAGTTTAACACACACTGCACCCCTATCTCCATCTTCCTTAACACACATATATACACAACCCCATCTCTCTTTTTTTCTCTCTCTCATACATACCTTATATCACATATAGAAACACCCCACAACACAAACCCCATAACAAATACATATACAGAGTTTAACACACACATGCACCACCACCACCCCACACTAACTTCCCCTTCTCTGAAGCTGCTAATCTGTTCTGCACTTAACCAGTCATACTCCCTGACTTTCAGTAAATTCCATAGTGAGATAGCTAGAGGTTAGCTTGCAGGCCATTAGGCAGCACATTTAACACTGATTTGAAAGCTTTTTGCTGCTTAAGGAATAGAAAACCACAGATTAGTCCATTTCTTGCTGATCTGAGAACAAGAGAGTAGAAAGAAGCTGGTGGCCTCTATAGCTTGATGAGGGCAGCAGCGGAAGGAACCCTGCTGTACACAGCTGTGTTCAGTTCTCTTTGTAGGGCTGAAAGCCCCTCTTTTCTTTACCACCTTGCCCCATTTCTCAGCTTTTACTTGACTTGGGACAGTTTAAGTGTCCAGGATTGACTTCCCCTGGTTACTAAGATGAGGTTCACAGCATGGAGTAGATGGGAATAAACTGTGAGGATCAAATCAGGTTGCCTGACCTTGCACAAGGGTTGGGAGAACCTTGCTAGGATACTGTGCATAGGAAGACAGGGCTGGGGGAGGAAAAAGGAAAGTGGGAGGCAATGGGGATGGTGTTAGGGAAGTGAGGAGTTTGGTTAAACATTAATGAGAAGAGAGGCTAAGGACAGCTCTCTAGGGGTTAAGCATATACTTATTAGTTGTCTTTGTGTTCTTGGTGAAGAGTTTGATCATGTTTGTTATTTATTGCTGATTTAAGAAACGTATTCATTTATTTCTGTGTATGTGTACATACAATGTTACATGTTCTGTGCCATAGTCTGTTTGTGGAGGACAGCTTTTGGGAACTGGTCCTCTTTTTCTATTTTATCGAGGTACGATCCCTCTTGATTCTCCCATGCTTCCTATTGCAGATTCACTGGCTTCCAAGGTTTAGGGGATTCTCATGTCTCTACCTCCCACTCGCTGTAGGAGTACTAGGATCACAAACATGTACCATGGTGTCCAACTTTTACATGGGATCCAGAGATCTGTACTCAGGTTGTTATTCTTGTGTGTCAAGTGCTGCTACCCACTAAGTTATTTCCCTGTTCCTATTATTAATTTTTGAGATTTCAAAAATATGTTCTACATCTTAAGTCTTTGGTGGCTATGTGATTCTATAGTTTAGACCTAGAATGTCCTCCACAGACAGATGTGTTAAAGTCTTGTTCTCCAGTCTGTGATGCTGTAGGAAGGTTATAGAAACTTTAAGAGGTGGGGCCAGTAGGCGATCCTTCTAGGCTGGCTCATGACGGAGACTGTAGGCCCATAGGTCTCTTCATCACTTTTTCTTTGCATCAACACTATGAGATATTCTTCTGAGTGCTCCCTGCTGTGATGTACTGCCTCACAACAAACTCCACTTGAGCCTTTCAACCACTGAAAACCCCAAAATGGTGCACAGAAATAAACCTCTTTTTCTTTATAAATTGGTTTTCTCATGTATTTGTCACACTGGTGGGAAGCTCTCTGCTAGGTGGCTTGTGAATATTTTCTTTCAGGTGGTATATTCCCCATTAAGAAAAAATCCTAAGAAGGGGCAGCTCCACCAGTGCAAGAAAATCCAATTAGGTCAAATCAAACCAAATTAAAATGCCCATCATTTTATTAAGTATGGTGCTCTCAGGTGGCCGAGCGCATAGTGGGGAAACAGGAAAGCGGGGAGTACATTCAAACCCAGAACCGTGTGTTTCTCCTCTGGGAGCCCACTTAAAAACCCTGTCAGGACCTGGCATGCTGGGATTTGGATTCCAGACCAATATATTTCCAGGTCAGGGGGGCTGGAATCGATGCCAGGGGCTGGAGTTACACTCCAGACTTAACATTCCAGACTCTTTGGATATAGGGGTGACAGGAAGTTGAAGTGATAGGCTTTCTTTGGGAAAAAGGGGGTGCAGACTCAAGTCTGGTTACTTCCTGCAGGCATAGGGTGACATGGGTAGGTAGGGGAGAGCTGGGTGTTGGTGGGTCCATGTTCAGCGGGTGGTATAGCATTCTGATCACTGTCATCCCGGAAATGCCAGGCATTTGTTTCTTAAAGGAGGTAAGAAGGCAGGTGTCTAGGAGAAAAAAAAATGTTATTATTGGACCTATGAAATGGGGCTAGCCATGGGATGAGATACAATAGCAGATGAAACCAGATTTTAGTTGGCAGGTGTCTGTGATCCAGAAGAGCTGGTACCAATGAAGTCCCAGGAACTGGTACAGGTGCTTTTGGTGTTGTCCTGGGAGCATTTTGTAGGTTGGTCTTGACTTAGGCAACAAGAGTAACCTGTAAAATATGCTTAAAACTGGATGGGGTTAAAAGTTAAAAGCCTTGGATTTTACCAGACCTGATTATTGATAAAGGATAGAAAACCTGGTAATCCTGAACTATGAAGCCTGTTAAAGAACAGTACCTTTAGATGTCAAATGCCTTAGACAGATCTGGGAGGAATAGATGAGCAAAAATTGAGACAGCTTTTGGCCAGCAGGCCATCTCAAGTCCTCTCCTTGTCCTTGGAGAACATCAGGCTTAGAAGCAGTATTTGGCATTAGCTTTTGAGTGTGAGAGGCCCATAGATTTTTCCTGTGAGCGGGAAGAATTTACTTTACCTGTCTTGGCAAGAAAAGCAGATCAGTTTCCTGGGTAAAAGGCCTCTTTGGCTTCTGTGTTGGTGGCTTTGCAAACCAGAGCAAGCCTGGAGACGGCAGGTCTTTTGTCTTCTTGGAGGACACAGTACTGCAGAAGCTGGCTGTCTTTGTTAGAAGCTCTTGTTAAAATGCCATGATCTCAGAAATATAAAGGCACTTGAGAACCAAGTATTATTACCTGGTAGTTTAAACTGGGCATATAAACTAAATTTTTAAAGCTGTTGTAATCCGGAAGCACACATAAACACAAAACTCAAATTCACATCACAAAAACACAGTTACACACTTAAATAAACACAGTGAGCACATTATTCTAACAGAGAAACAGATAGGACAGCCTTAGGGAACCTGTGTCAGCTGACTAGGCATTGCAAGAGAGAACAGAAACATAAAGACAAAACATTTTGGTAGGAGTTTTAGAGTGGAAGGATGGGGGAAAAACGGATTTACTGTCAGCAGGGAAGAGCAGGGCAGGAGCATTCTGAGCATGGACGGCAGAGGCCATGTTTTATATATATATATTTTAAAATGCTGCAAGATACCTGGGAGCAGTAGGCAGCAGAAATGCTGTAGGTTCCAAATGGTGGTAGCGGGCCATGTGGTGGCAGGCAGCAGGCTCTGAGAGCAGCCAGTCCCAGGCAGAGTAGGCTGCTGGTCCCTGAGCAGTGGCTGGTCCCAGCTAGGGAGACACATGGCAGGAGGGCAGGAGACAGAGACATGGATAGACACGACATGCAGAGTGAGGTTAAATGTTTATTCAGGGGGTTATGGAGGGAGAAGGGTGAAGGGGGGAGAGAGAGAGAGAAAAGAGGAGAAAGAAACAGAGAAGGGGGATGCGGAGAAGTTGGCAAAGCTGCCTCTCCAAGAGGAAGATGGAAAAAAGAGCGAGCTCAGGCCGGAATCTGAAGATCAGCCTGCCTCAGCAGATGGGGGAGGGAGTGGGCGTGGTTTGTCTCTTAAAGAGACAGAACAACCATTACATTCCCATCTCTTTTTTACAATAAAAAGGCCAGGCGGTTAGGCACCACAGGTCAAAGGAATTGGGGCAGCGGATTCTCAAGACTGCTTCCTGCTTATTTGTGGGCATCATCTTTGGGGGGAACCTGAGAAGGCTCAGTGCTGGCCACGTTCTGGCATAGCTGGTCTCTTTGCTCCTGTCTGGTGTTTGTGGCATATGTTGCGGGAGGTCCTCCCACTCCTCCAGCCTATAGCCACTGAGATTCCAGCCCATTGGGGCGTGGTCTCTTTCCCTTT